GTGATGATACAAACTGGGACAGTGTTGATAAGAGAAAATGAAGCTCAAGGGGAGGACAATCAAATGCAGCAAGACCGGTGCTAGAAAAGTTAAACTCTCAAAACATGAGTGCTCAGAGCTGAGCTGGTGTTAGTCTGCTTTAAAACTTAATGGTGTTAATATTTAGCTTTATGTTTAGCTCAGTCCAAGAGATCATTTTAGTCACACGTGTGCACTATTACGATTACCCACACGTGGAATTTCCACACCTGGTTCTTGGAAAGCAGTTTGTGCTTCAGATCCTGAGGACCATCCTGAAGTTCATCCTGTAATGTAGCATGGTTGCCCATCTGTCTGGGCAGAAATGTATCTTGAGGAGCTGTACTGCCATCTTAACAGTGTTAATTTAAACTTGGAGCATTATTTTTTAAAGAGGAAATTTGTTTGTGTTAATCTATTGGAAGGATTGCATCTTAACCTGTGGCAACTGAGGCAAAGGTGGTTTGCGGGAGAACAGGCCCTTAATTAAGCTGTTGAGCTAGTGTTTGGCAATTTATCATCAATGAAGAAAAAGTGATTTTGGAATGTCCTTGCTCATAAGGAAGGAGTATCGATCTTTAATGTGTATTCTTTTGTGTTGGTCTTTCTCTGAGAAAGTATGGGAATATTCTTCTGTTGCTCCTTAGGGAAAAAAAAGTCTGTTTCATTAGCTATCCTAGAGAAGGCATGTTTTATGATGTTTATATATATGTGTATATGCAGAAAACAAACAATAAATTGCAATCAGGTTGTCTGATCCATAGTGAGCAGGTAACGCCACGTCTGGGGAGATGACAGGCTTTGTGTCTCATTAGCAGCATTCCTTTGAGTAATCCAGTTTACCAAGAAAAAAATGCGATCAATCTCAAAACGTTCTGATGATTCCAAGAATTTGAAGCAACCAACCTCCATTCAAAGCACACCAGCTGTGCTTCAGCACTCTGAAAAATCAGAGTTTTTATAATTAAATCCTATACTGTGACTGAAGGAACACCAATTATTTGAAGCTTGCACGTAGACTCAGTGTTCTCCTCAAAATGAGCACTGCAATACCCTGAGCCACAGGAAGGCACAGTAGCTTTCAGAGATAAAGTATTTTTGAAAGCAACTAAGAAACCATGTGAGTTCTATATTTCACTGAATTACTAAACACTTTAAAATGAAATCCTTTGATAATTATTGGAAGCTTGAGTATATTTTGCGTTTTATTCTTCTACCCTGTTCTCATGGAACAAACAGAAGCAAAACTTCTACAGCCTACAATATTTTTTTAAAAAAACATACCTAAATCAATAGCCTGCATTCCCTATTGAAAACAAATCCCTCCTTCAGAATCGCTACTGGCTTCAGAACACATGTCTTCAACTAAATCATCTAATAGTATTTTTATGGATAGCTCAGTTTAGTCATAGTAGAAAGCTTTGTTTCATAGAAATACAACAATCTTTATTCTTTGTCTGCAAATGTTTAATTGGAACAAACTAGAAGTAACAGAACGTGGTCCTGTCCTGAAAAGCGATTGTATGCAAAGGGCCCATTCTTGCTCAGCAGATATATGTTTAGAGTCGCTTCTGTTTAATCTGGACCTCAGGCCCCAAAAGCATAAGAGAATTATTCTCTTTATATCTAGGAGGAGAAAGGGGTGGGGGGAGGAGGGGAGCACTTATTTTATTAGAGCCCTGTCCAAACACAAGGAACCTGACAGAATATATAATTATATCAGAAAATATGGACTTTTCATCTACTTTCTGCTCTGAGTTAGTGTAGTCGTCTCACTAAAATATAATTCAGAGCTAGATACTTATAGCTAGATACTTCTATGAGTAATTCTGGAAAAATAGCACAACTGCCAGAAATGGATATTACTTTCTCAAGTCCTATAAGTAGAATTGTATTAAAGATGCCACTGAAGGCATTTGCAATACATGCTAACACTATTGTGGTCTAATTGACATAGTCTAATTGTAGTCTAATTGACAATTGATATAGTATTTATCAGTGATGCAAGAAAAAAGAACAAAGCATCTGTTTGATGAGGTCTATGCCTGTCCTGCAATCTTTTTTTTTTTTTTTTTTTTTTTCAACCTAGTTGTCTTTTAGTTTGTCGCAGCAGAATTGTCGTTCTTTAGGACACTGGGCTGAAACTCAGAGTCAACAAGATTTCACAAATAAGTAAATCTGGGTGCTATACTTGGGAAAAACCTAGAAAAGGAGGGGTTTGGGGTTTTCTTTGCTTGCTGTTCTTCTGTCACTTCATTTGGTGGAATCATCACAGTGATTAAAGCAGGAACAAGAGCAGGTCTCTTCCTCCTAGGTTTCCTTTTAATTTGGTTTCAGATATCTAGTACAGTAACAGACTAGCAAAAGGCTAGTCTGGATATATATACCTCAGGATATATGTGTGTATACATATATACAGGCACTCACATGTGTTATCCCACTTTCATGTGAAGTGTGTTCTGCTGGATAATTTGATGCTGGTACAGAGTTATATATGGAAAAATGTAGTGAAAAATATTTTGTAGATTCTCTATGTGGTAAATATTTTTTCTACATGGAGTAAGTTGTACCTAATGTATTCTCGAACAGGAAAAAGTACATGTTCAGCAAATTCTAACCGAAGCAACTTCACAAAAAAAACTTGTCTGAATTGTTAAGCACTGCACATAACTGGTCAAAACTAATAAACCAAGGCTTAGTAAACATGATGTTTCAAGTTAAAGAAAGAAAAAGGTTCATAGCTGAGAGATCTAGGATTCTCATTGCTGTCAGGACACAATCAGCAAGGAAATTGTAGCTAACTAGAACTTACTGAAAATCTGTAGTGATTTAAGTGCTTTGATTAATGCAAGTAACCAACCTGATACTTTTTCTTCTACTGCCATGCTGTGGAGTGGCTGAAGCAAGACAAATGGTCAAGTAGCTTGGAAAAAGCACTGCCTTGATCTGGCAGTGTCAGTTCTGGAGCTAATTTGGTGGTGGTTGGCATGGGGACATGTGTACTGGTATGTGCTTTAGACAGTTGTTACTAAACTGCACTTTTGAAAATAATCCAAAAAGGCTAAATTCAGAAAAGCAAGATAATTTGTTTTTATGAAGTCTGTTAAAAATGAGGATGGTTTTTTTAAGTAAATTATTAAACAAATAGAGGTACTCTTGAGGTTTTTGCTTAAGGTACAGCCTCAGGGAACTTTCTGTGATGTCTGAATGATATCTGGTAGTGGAAATAAGTCAGACATATAAACAGGATAGGGAAATTTCTCCTCAGACAAAACAAACTTGAAGGGAGACTTAAAATGAACAAGTAAGTTAGCGGCCTGGTTGTGCTGCTTAGTCAAAAGGTCTAATTGGATGTATAAGCAGGAATAATGAATACAAGTGCAGTGATGACAA